CCCCCCCCCCCCCAGGTGATGTGTATGCTTGCCAATGGTGGAGAAACTCTGATCAATTTACTCCAACAAACAGAACAGAATTCTGTAATGTGCTTGTTTCCCAGTAGGCAGTAATCATTAGGATCAGCTGATTTATTCTGTTTCGGGCCCTGCTATTCCTAAAACATTGATCCTTTGCTAGTGATGTTTGGACATTGGTAATTTATGTATCTTAAGTAGAATGATAGTAATAAGTGTGTTTTGTTTTCAAGAAAACATAGGTCAATTAGTCATCTTTCAAAATTTGAAGAAGACAATAATAATTCTAGTATTGTGTTCAAATATATCCATGGTCTTTAACTGATTAGTTAGGTAAGTTAGTTGAGAGTTATTAGATAGAACTTAGTTTTTGAAGCCAAGTTGATTTCCTTAGGAGTGGTTCAGAATTGTTATGTTTAGTGGTTAAACACTCTCCCAAACCATATCACATAGAAACTAAGTGAGAAAATATAGATACATCAAGCAAACTCAAAACTGTTTTCATAGCAAAGCCTTTGTGTTAGGAGGGTGGAATCAGGGGATATCATCGTCACAAAAAGGATGAAATGGCACTTACGGTGTCACCATGGCCGCTAAAGCTACCACCAGCCCGTCGCAGCTTCTGCCTCTAGAGCTTGTGGACACATGTATAGGGTCAAGAATTCACATTGTGATGAAGAGTGACAAGGAAATTGTTGGCACGCTTCTAGGTTTTGATAACTTTGTCATTATGGTATTGGAAGGTGTCACTGAGTTTGAAATCATACCAGAAGGAAGAAGGATCAGATTTTGCTAAATGGAAATAATGTAACAATGCTGGTTCCTGGAGGAGAAGGACCTGAAGTATAAGAGGATTTCTTGACTTATGCTAGAATCTGTTTTATTTGATAAAAGCAACAAAATGTATTTTTGTGTTTTTTTTTTTTAACATTTTAATCTTGTTCTATAATGCTGCTTCCCATTAAAGAGAAATGCTTTGAATATACATTGTAAATGCCATTTTTTATAAGTTAATTATGATTGTATTTGGGGAAAAAAGTAAACAGTTGACTGTTTGAATGCAAAAATAAACGTGTTTTTGTTTAACTGCAATGTTATTTACTCTACTGTAGTGGCCAGTGAGACAAAGATTGCAATTTTTTCGTCAC